AACCAGACTGAAGAAAAGAGCAAGAATCAGAACCAAACTCAGATATGACACAGAGTTTGGAATTACAGATAGGAAATTTAAAATAACTATGACTCGTATGTTAAGGGCTTGGGATATTATGATTTGTCAGAAATATATATTTGGTCATTCAGATGACCAAAAGATATTTCTTCTCATATATTTGGTCTTCATCCATGGGTCCTGGCTCACAGCTCATAAAAACCCTTGGCATTTCCTCAGTAATAAGAGCAATTTGGTTATAATATTTGGTCTCTTGTCCTCAGTTCTGGAAACCACTTGAGAGCCATAAAGGTGAAATGGGTGTCTTGTTATTCATTATAAGCCCCTTTATACTACAACTGGGTTTATGGGGGTTTTTTTCTAAGATTTATTTATTTATTTTAGAGAGAAAGAGAAAGTGCACAAGCAGGGGGAGGGGCAGAGGGAGAGAGAGAATCTCAATCAGATTCAGTGCTGAGCTCATGGCCTGAGCCAAAGCCAAGAGTCAGATGCTCAGCTTATTGAGCCACCCAGGTGCCCCTCATTTTTAGCTTGAATAATTTGTGTGTGTGTGTGTGTGTGTGTGCATTCTTTAGGATTTTCTATTTATGGGATTATGTAATATGTAAATAGAAATAGTTTTTCTTCTTCCTTTCCAATATAGATGCCTTTAATTTCTTTTTATTGCCTACTTGCCATGGCTAGAACCTCCAGTACAATGTTGAATAGAAGTGACAAGAACAGACATCCTTGTTTTGTTCTTGATCTTAGGGAGAAAGCTTTGTTTTTCAACATTAAGTGTGATGTTAGCCCTGTGGTTTTTGTAGATATCCTTCAACAGGTTGAGGAAGTTCCCTTATACTTCAAATTTTTTGAGTGTGTTTATCATGAAGAGGTGTTGAATTTTGTCAGATGTTTTCTCTGCATCTATTGAGATGATGTTCATGTGGTTTTTGTCCTTTATTATATGGTGTATTGCATAATTGATTTTCAGATATTAAACCAACCTTTATTCTTTTTATTTTATTTTTAAAATATTTTGTTTAGGGGTGCCTGGGTGGCTCAGTCGTTAGGCGTCTGCCTTTGGCTCAGGTCGTGATCCCAGGGTCCTGGGATCGAGCCCCACATCAGGCTCCCTGCTCGGCGGGAAGCCTGCTTCTCCCTCTCCCACTCCCGCTGCTTGTGTTCCCTCTCTCGCTATGTCTCTCTGTCAAATAAATAAAAATAAAATCTTTTAAAAAAATAAATAAATAAAATATTTTGTTTAAAACCAACCTTTATTCCTGAGATGAATCCCACTTGGTTATGGTATATATACCTTTTTTATACATTACTGGGTTCAATTTTCTAGTATTATGTTGAGGATTTTTGCGTACACTTTAATGAGAGATATTGGTGTGTGGTTTTCTTGTAATATCTTTGGTTTTGGTATCAGGGAATACTGGTTTCAAAGAATGAGTTAGAAAGTGTTCCTTCCTCTTCTGTTTTTTGGAAGAGTTTGTGAGGAAACTGAATTTGTTTGTGAGGAAACTCATTCATTTTTTCTTCAAATGTTCGATAGAATTCTCCAGTGAAGTCATCTGGGCTTGCGCTGTGTGCGTGTGTGTGTCAAAATTTTTAATGACTAATTCAGTCTTTTTCCTTGTTGTAGGTCTGTTCAAGTTTTCTATTTCATCTTGAGTCAGTTTTGGTCATTCGTGACTTCCTAGGAATTTGTTCATTTCATCTAATTTATCTAATTTGCCAGCATACAGTGCATAATATTCCCTTATACTTCTTTTTATTTCTGTAAGGTTGATAGTAATATTCCCTCTTTCATTCCTGACTTTAGTAATTTGAATTCTCTCTCCTTTCTCTCTCTCTGTCTCTCTGGATGTTCCCTCCACCCCTTACTCCCAGTCAGTCTAGGTAAAGGTTTGATAATTTAAAAAAAAGGTTTGATAATTTTGTTGGTCCTTTCAAAGAACCAAGTTTTGGCTCCATTGATTTTTCTCAATTTTTTAAATTCTTTATATCATTAATTTTTACTCTAATCTTCATTAGTTCCTTTCTTCCTCTTGCTTTGGGTTTAGTTTGCTCTTCTTTTTCCAGTGTCTACATATATATAGTTAGGTTATTGATTTGAAATCTTTTCATTTATTAATATAGTTGTTTACAGCTGTAGGTTTCCCTCGAGCCTCTGTGTTAGCCACAGCCCCTAAATGTTGGTATGTTGTGTTTTCTCTTTCATTCATCTCAAAGTATTTTCTAATTTCTCCTGTGATTCTTCTCTGGCTAATTGGTTAGTTAGGTGTGTGTTGTTTAATTTCCACATATTTGTGAAATCTCCAAATTTCCTTCTGTTATTAATTTCTCATTTCCCTCCATTGTGGTCAGAGAATGTGCTTTCCACAATTTTGATCCTTTTAAATTTACCGAGGCTTGGGCGCCTGGGTGGCTCAGTCGTTAAGCGTCTGCCTTCGGCTCAGGTCATGATCCCAGGGTCCTGGGATCGAGCCCCGCATCGGGCTCCCTGCTCCGTGGGAAGCCTGCTTCTCCCTCTGCCACTCCCGCTGCTTGTGTTCCCTCTCTCGCTGTGTCTCTCTCTCTGTCAAATAAATAAATAAAAATCTTTAATAAAATAAATTTACCGAGGCTTATTTTATGGCCTATCATATGGTCCCTTCTGGAGAAGTTTCCAGATGTACTTGAGAAGAATGTGTTTTCCGCTACTGTTGGGTGATTCTGCACCGTCTTTGGTTTTTTGACATTTAAAAAAATAAATAATGTTTATCCAAATTAATTTCACCACTTCCAGATATTTGCAAATTATCAGACTCACTTCTCATACCAGGATTTATCTAAGGTGTCCAGTAAAACCAGATGAGCCCTGCTCAAAAAGTCCTCTACTCATTGCAGGAATATCATTGAAATAGCCATTTCTGACAGGTAGCATATCCTAACACACACTACAGACTTTCCACTCTTGAGTGGATTGCTTAATCTCCAACTGCAGTTTCCTCACCTCAAAAATGCAATACCTGCTTTGCAACTTTGCTTTGAATATTAGGAACACTGCATAAAGCACCCATGTCAATGTCTGCCATGTAATGGCAGATGCTCAATAATGCTCAATAAACATGAGTCATAATCACTATTAGGCTATTTATATGCATCCTGTCTAGTTTAATATGTAGTACACCATAAACTAGGTATTATTAAATAATGATATTAGGAGTGCCTGGGTGGCTCAGGTGGTTAAGTGACTGACTTGATTTCGGCTCAGGTCATGATCTCAGGGTCAGGGGATCAAACCCGCATCGGGCTCCATGCTCAGCCCTGAGTCTGCTTGAGATTTTAACTCTCCTTCCCCCTCTGTCCTCCACCTGCTCGCTCGCTCTCTAAATACATACATACATAAATCTTTTAAAACAATAATGACATTATTAAATCTGTATTTCCTTCCTTCATAAATTAGACATTATTGGAAAAACTGAGGCTATAGTTAAGTGACTTGCTTAAGTTACCTACGTGGAGAGTAAATGCCTGAATTTCAACTCTGGTTTATTTCATTGGAAAGTCAATTTTCCTACCACTGTTGGAAAAATCCTTTCCTCGAGCCTTTTTTTTTTTTTTGCATTTGGGGTTTAAGAACAGAAAGAAAGAAACTTGAATCAGGCTATGCTGAATTATCAGAGAAGAAATAATAAGGAAGCAGAGACCATGACATATTTTTTTAAGTTTTTATTTTATTCACCCGGTGCTCATCCCAAGTGCCCTCCTTAATTCCCATCACCTATTTCTCCCATCCTCCCACCCACCTCCCTTCTGGTAACCCTCAGTTTGTGCTCCGTAGTTAAGAGTCGGTGTCTTGGTTTGTTTCTCTCTCTCTCTCTCTTTTTTTCCTTTGCTCCTGTGTTTTGCTTCTTAAATTCCACATATGAGTGAAATCAAATGGTGTTTGTCTTTCTCTGACTGACTTATTTCACTCAGCATACTACCCTCTAGCTCCATCCACATTGTTGCAAGTGGCAAGATTTCATTCTTTTTTATCGCTCAATAATATTCATATATATATATACATATATACATATACCACATCTTCTTTATCCATTCATCTATTGATGGACACTTGGTTGTTTCCTTATTTTGGTTATTGTAAATAATGCTGCTACAAATGTATCCCTTTTGAATTGGTGTTCTTGTATTCTTTGGGTAAATACACAGTAGTGTGATTGCTGGATCATAAGGTAGTTCTATTTTTAACTTCTTGAGGAGCCTCCATACTGTTTTCCAGAGTGGCTGCACCAGTTTGCATTCCCACCAACAGTGTAAGAAGGTTCCCCTTTCTCCACATCCTTGCCAACACCTGTTGTTTCTTATATTGTTGACTTCAGGCATTCTGACAGGTGTGAGGTGATATCTCATGTAGTTCTGATTTGCATTTCCTTGATGATCAGTGATTTTGACATCTTTTCATGTGTCTGTTGGCCATGTGGATGTCTTCTTTGGAGAAATGTCTGTTCATGTCTTCTGCCCATCTTTAAATTGGATTATTTTGGGGGAGGGTGTTGAGTTGTGTAAGTTCTCTATGTATTTTGGATACTAAGCCTTTGTCAGATGTGTCATTTGCAAATATCTTCTCCCATTCTGTAGGTTGCCTTTTAGTTTTGTTAATTGTTCTCTTTGCTGTGCAGAAGCTTTTCATTTTGATGGAGTCCCAATAGTTTATTTTTGCTTTTATTTCCCTGGGCTCAGGGGACCTACCTAGAAAAAAGTAGCTGTGGCCAGTATCAGAGAAATTTGCTCTCTTCTAGGATTTTTATAGTTTCAGGTCTCATATTTAGGCTTTAAATGCATTTTGAATTTATTTTTGTATATGGTCTAAGAAAATAGGGGCACCTGGGTGGCTCAGTCGGTTAAGCATCTGCCTTCGGCTCAGGTTCCTGGGATCAAGCGCCATGTTGGGCTCTCTGCTCGCCAGGGAGTCTGCTTCTCCCTCTCCCTTTGTCTGCCACTCCCCCTGCTTGTGCTTTCTCTCTGTCAAACAAATAAATAAAGTCTTAAAAAAAAATAATAACATGGTGTAGATATGAAGTGCCTAGCACAGATAATAGGCGCTCAAATTTAATTATTTTTTACCTATCCTGGGAGACAGGGGGATTTATTCTTCCTGAAAAATGAGAGACCATTTTTTTTAGATGTATTTTCTTGCTTCCAAGCACAGCTTCTGCTAGTCAAGGTCCTATCACAGCTGTGGAGATTGTTTTTTTAAGTTTATTTATTGATTTAAGTAATCTCTACACCCAACATGGGGCTCGAACTCACCGCCCCGAGATTGAGAGTCACATGCTCTACGACTGAGCCAGCTAGGCGCCCCAAAGCGTGGAAAGTTAAAGCGTGTTGACATTTCTTTTTTTCTCACACCTATTGCTCTTGAACGACTTATACAATTTGGATGAGCCAAGCATAAAAGGGAGGACGTTGCTAAGTTTGGTTCAGATGACTAGGGAAATTCTGAGATTAGGACATGAGCTATTTCTGGCTTTTAGGTCTGAACCCAGATCTCTACTTTTAGAGGATTTTTCTCACATTGTACATTCTCATGAGTAGTAACAGTAACTAGCACGTTTCAGTGACTGGGGGACAGGAAACCCCTCACTTTGCAGATGGGGAAACAGGTCCAGGGAGGGTAAGGTTCTTGCCCACTAGTAAGGGGTGGGAGGCTGGTCTTCCAACCCAGTCTGTCTGCACTTTTCAATGGTTCTATGTTGAGTGACTGTACCCAAGCCTTGGGCCCTACCTCATTACAGTCGGGAGATTTCCCCTTTAACAGGGTCCTGTGTTGGCACTGTCCTCTCTTTGATAGACCCTCTCTTTGGCTTTCCTTTTCACAACTTCTACTCCTGCCTTCCCAGGGAGGACCCCTGATGGGATGAAGTGTGTTCCCAATAGAAAGAAACTCTAGGGAGAGTTTATTTTCCTGGAACAAATGGAGAAGACATTCTAGGCTCATTGGTTAAAATCAAGTCTACCTACAAAGCCCTATAATCTGAGCTGCTATTCCCCCCACCATCCCCTTCCAAGTTTAACTAAACATAGAGAGCGCAGAATGTTGCATGACAGCCTATACAAGAGGAAAATGGTCCCCCCAGACATTTAACCACAAGAATTTTGTTGTTTTGGGGGGCACCTAGGTGGCGCAGTCAGTTGGGCATCTGACTCTTGGTTTTGGCTCAGGTTGTGATCTCAGGGTTGTGGGATTGAGCCCCGCGTCGGGCTCCGCGCTCAGCACAGAATCTGCTTGAGATTCTCTCTCTCTCTCTCTCTCCCTCTGCCTCCCCCTCTAAAATGAATAGATAAATCTTAAAAAAAAAAAAAAAGAGGTTTTTTTTTTTGTTTTTAATTTAATTTGAATGCCTCTGTGCAGAGTACCACCACCTTGCTGTAGAAACCAGCTGTTTCACCTTTTCCAAGGTATTTAAGTTTTTCAACCCTTGATCCCCCCATTTTCTGAAGAAGCACTAAGTAGACCCTCAGGGAAGACCCTGCTTCGTTTCTAGAAGAGATGCAGAGTCAAATCTTTTAATTTCAGCAATTCTTGAAAAGCTGCATTTTGTTTGATCTTAAGTAAGCGGGAGGCTCTGGGAAACACTGACATATATGTCCCGGTCATGAATTGTAGACAGGCTGGTTAAATAGCTTCTTTTTGGGGGCGCCTGGGTGGCTCAGATGGTTAAGCGTCTGCCTTCGGCTCAGGTCATGATCCCAGGGTCCTGGGATCGAGTCCCACATCGGGCTCCCGGCTCGGCAGGGAGCCTGCTTCTCCCTCTGACCCTCTCCCCTCTCATGCTGTTTCCCTCTCACTCGCTCTCTAAAAAATAAATAAAATCTTAAAAAAAAAAAAAATAGCTTCTTTTTGTGGCGACTCTGACCTGAGTGTCTACAGGGAGAAAGTTTGCAGGACCATAAACCCCTTCCAGGAAGAACAAAAGAAGGCACACCTCTTTATGGAGGTCTTCCTGAGGCTAATCTCTCGGACTTCTAGAAGGACGGTATGAGTTCGCATCATGTGCATTGGCAATGGAAGGCACTGTGTGTTCACAGCTGTGGTTTAGTTGAGATGTGGTTATGTGAATGCACTGGAAATCACCCAGGGCTCGAAGACTAAAGAAAACTGAGGAAGATGTCAACAGGACTCCCATTTTAATCTCTAGGAAAAAAAGCAGAGGCGTTATTTATTTATTTATTTTTAAAGATTTTATTTATTTATTTGAGAGACAGAAAGAGAGCACAAGCAGGGCAAACAGCAGAGGGAGAGGGAGAAGCAAACTCCCCACTGAGCAAGGAGCCCGACACAGGGCTCAATCCCAGAACCCTGAGATCATGACCTGAGCTGAAGGCAGATGTTTAATGGACTGAGCCATCCAGGCACCCCAAAAAAGCAGAGGTTTTAAATGACAAAAGGAAAGTGTACTGTTTAGGACAAGCCTTTATGTGGAAGTAACACAAGAGTAGGAAACTCTGAATTGACAAATGACCACCACCACCAAAAGACACTTTTACTCTTTTTTTTTTTAAGATTTTTATTTGTTGGGGTGCCTGGGTGGCTCAGTCGGTGAAGCGTCTGCCTTCGGCTCAGGTCATGATCCCGGGGTCCTGGGATCAAGCCCCGCATCGGGCTCCCTGCTCAGCAGGGAGTCTGCTTCTCCCTCTGACCCTACCCCCTCTTGTATCCCTCTTTCTCAAATAAATAAATAAATAAATAAGTAAAAAGACTTGCCCTCCAGCTTTGAACAGCCCAGAACAGACTGCCCGCACCGGGTGGCCCGGGAACCAATCGCCGTCATACACTATCGCCCTGATTAACCTGCTCGGTCCCTCACAAGGAGGAAGATTCAGGAACCAGCGCGTCTTCAAGGCCAGGATCACCGGACTCTCCCTTTTGCTCAAGGAGAGTAAAAGAAACAGGGAGTGGTCAGTCCTTCAATAATTATCTGTTGAACCAACTGCTGTGCAGCAGTGACTGACCCCCTCCTCCCCGGAGCAGACATCCTGATGAGGACCTCAGACATCACACACATTAGCCAAGGGGACCGTGGTTACAAAAGGTAAGTCTGGGATATATGGGAACATGAATGGGGAGCCGATCTACTCCAGGACGCGAGATGAGGGAACCCTTCTCTCCGACAGTGGCTTGCCTTTCATTGCCATTTGAATAAAGTTAAATAAAAAATAAAATAAAATAAAATAAAATAAATAAAAAATAAAAAAAGAAATTTCCTCATGAAGAGCAGACCCAGTGAGAGGGCTTTCTCAGGCTGAGTCCTGAGATTCAGGCTATGTGAATGCACTGGAAATCACCCAGGGCTAAGAGACTAAAGAAAACTTTAGGGGTCCACCCTAAAGAAAAATAAAGTTGGACTACTATTCAGCCATCAAAAAAAAAAAGAAAAAGAAAAAAGAAATCTTGCCATTTGCAACGACGTGGATTGAACTAGAGGGTATGATGCTAAGCGAAATAAGTCAATCAGAGAAAGACATGTATCATATGATCTCACTCATATGTGGAATTTAAGAAACAAAACAGAGGAGCATAGGGGAAGGGAGGAAAAAAAAAAAGATGAAACCAGAGAGGGAGACAAACCCTAAGGGATTCTTAACCATAGGAAACGGAGGGTTGCTGGAGGGGACGTAGGTGGGGAGATGGGGTAACTGGGTGATGGGCAGTAAGGAGGGCACGTCATGCAATGAGCACTGGGTGTTATATAAGATGAGGAATCACTGACCTCTACCTCTGAAATCTCTGAAATTAATTGAATTTAAATTAAAATTAAAAATGGGGAAAAAAAGAATCCTGGGAGCTCCTGTTTTTGATGTCTTGAAATGGCTTGAAAAAGCTCAAGTTAGATTGCTGCTGGGTGAAAGACCACAGGGACAGAGAGGTTCTGGACGATGAGAGGCTCTCTTGGACACTGGGCCTCAGCCAAGCTCCCAGCAGAGTGCCGCTTCATGAGTGAGCTCAGCCTACACCAGCAAGAAACCGCCACCTGAGCCCAGACAACCTCCAGAATTCTAGGAAATAAATTATTGTCGCTTTAAAAAAATAATAAGATAAAAATAAAGTAAGCTCTACACCCAACATGGGGCTTGAACTCACGACCCTGAGATCAAGGGAGATATGCTCTGCCCACTGAGCCAGCCAGGTGCTGTACTTGTCTATTTAGACATCTGTTTGCCTTCTACACTCGTTGTTCCTCAAGTGCAAGAAGGTGTTTTATGTAACAATATGGAACTCAAACATAACCTATCCATAAATAGACCTCAATTTTCCAGGCTTTAGGAATCATTCTTTTCTTTAAACCCCTGGGGAAGCAACAATCCAGACCCCAGGAACTCGCCAGTCCCCGCGCACTCACTCTCTGTGGGTCACTTTGCCACTGTCACCACCCTCCCCATCCCATGTGGCCTGAGTATGAGCAGGAGACCCTCTTCTTATTCCCCCAAATAAAGATAACAGGATATAATAGGAAAACCTTATTGAAGACTCCAGGACAACAGAAAAGAACTTCTGTTTCAGTGCAGAAAAGGTAATTTAAAAATAAGATAAGAGATACCAATTATTTCATTCAACACATAATCTTAAGCTTCTGTGCCAAGCACTGTTCAAGGTTTTGGGCATAAGGGCGCCTGGGTGGCTCAGTCAGTTAAGCGTCTGCCTCTGGCTCAGGTCATGATTCCGGGGTCCTGGGATCGAGTCCCGTGTCAGGCTCCCTGCTCAGCAGGGAGTCTGCTTCTCCCTCTCCCTCTCCCTCTCCCTCTGTGTGTGCTCTCTCACTCTCTCGCAAATAAATAAATAAAATCTTAAAAAAAAAATAAAGAGCAATTAAGAAACCAATGATTAAAAGAGGTTAATCTTATCATCTTTGTTTCAAAAACACTAGTAATATATCTTCATCAAATTTTCCCAGATTATGACAATATCTTAGCCAATTTCAGTTGCATTAAGAGGTAACTGATGTTAATGATATATTCTATTCAATTAAGAAAATAAAGGGTGAGGGCGCCTGGGTGGCTCAGTTGGTTAAGCGACTGCCTTCGGCTCAGGTCATGATCCTGGAGTCCCGGGATCGAGTCCCGCATCGGGCTCCCTG